TATATGTATACATATATATAATAATAATATATAAAATACACTCTTTGAAAAGGATTGCCGTTCAAGCATTAGTTTGTAAAATATTTTTTTTAATTAAAAACGTAAATGTTTTAATATAATTATCTATACTTTTGTAGGTATATTTTATGGTAATGATTTAAAGAGAATTGATTTCAGTAGGCCTACTTGTGCATTTGGTCTAGATCAAATACGTATATATCTAGAAGTCTGAAATGTACTTTCATGAATGAGTTTTGCTTGCACTAGAATTTCAAAAAATATAGGTAAGTGTTTAAAGTACGTGTTTTTTCATATCAGGTGTAATATAATCAGCATTTAGTAATCACAATTAGCTGATTGATTTGTTTGTCCACATCAGTATTGTTAGCAGTTTCCTGAAAATATACACTATATGTTTACTATTGTTTGGTGTTTATAAAATATTGCCACTGTATTCTGGAGAATTAAAAGTATTTTCCTGTTTTTATGTTTGTGTGTGTGTTTGAGTGTTTATACCGTGTGATAAACGAGTTAAAAACTGAAATGTAAACACACACTTAAAAAATTAAAATAAATAAATAAATATTAATCAAAACGTAATTGGAAAATATTCAAATGTGAGTTTTACTGAGATTTTTTACGCAAGTTACAATTCTTCGGGAATCAATGAAGACCGTCAATTATTACATTTTATAGTGTCGTAATACTGAAAACAGAAAATCATTGTGGATCAGAAATATTGAAAGGAAAGTACCGTATTGTCCCGAATATAAGACGATATTTTTTTCTTGGAAATACATCTGAAAAAACGCGGTCGTCTTATATTCATGGTCTAGACTTTGACATGTCAATAATACACCCACAACAATAGGTGGCGCCAAATACGCATAAAACGAGTGTGCCATGAAATACGTAATGTAATGCGTGTTGTAAAGATCGCGAGTGAAAACAAAAGAAAAAGAAAACCTTACGTTAGCCTGATGGGACCAAACTCCATTTGTGCTTTTAAAACGTAAGACAGTACCCAGATTTGAAGACTACAGTAAGATTTAACTCCTACTGTTAATAAGATTTTGGTAGGCTACTATTAGATGGATAGCCTAAATGTCCTAATTCAGATGGGCTATTGATAAACAACATTTTTAATATTAAAAAAAAAAACGGTCTAATGTATTATGACCCTGCCTTTTTTATTTTTTTTTAGAAAATGTCCTGTTGGTTGAGGGAACAGACTTTGTTGCTGGCAGAAGATTACATCAGCTTCTGCAGCGGGATCCAACAGACTCCTCCCAGCGAGTCAGCAGAGGCCATGAGATACCTGGCCAAAGAGATGGAGCAGCAGCACAGAACCAAATTCCGATCCCTCTCCCAGGAGTTCCTGGACACCTGCGGATCAGATCCCAGCAAGTGTCTGCAGAGCGTCATGAGGGAACTGGTGGGAGATGGGAAACTGAACTGGGGGAGGGTGGTCTCCATCTTTACTTTCACTGGAGTGCTGGCTAGTGAGCTCCTGTCCAGAGGAGAGAATTCCAAGTGCTCCCGGAGACTGGCCGAGACCATCGCTGACTACCTTGGAGGGGAAAAACAGGACTGGCTGGTGGAAAACGGAGGCTGGGTAAGCATTAGCTGTGTAGACTGGGGCAGAGGCCTTTATGCTGGTAAATGATGGTTTTAAAGCCATAATATTTTTGTTTGTGCAGTAGAGCGTTGACGTGTAGGTAGTAGGAAGACCCTGTGTAGTTGTCAAGTTTCAACTTTTAGCGAGGCATTTAGTGAGGGGTTTTTTCTACATCAGTTCTGGTTTAATTTGAGACTGCGTGGGTGCTTAAAGTGCATCGTTTGATCTTTCGTTTGTGCTCTCAGAAACCTAGCCTATTTTCTACCGTGTTTGATACCACAATCTCTTTGAGCTTTTCCTACCTGTATACTTCAATATGCACATTGTAAACTGAATTTGGAAGGTGCTGCAGTGATATGCTGGTCTAGTTTTTGGAGTAGTGCAGTGTAGGCTATACCTTCTTGTGGCCGTCCTGTTTTTGTCAATTAGAGAGTGACAAAGCTTTATTACATTGTTTAGTTATAGTTTGCGATGCAGCGGCTGTCAGATCTAATACGTTTGGCTGCTGCTTCTTTCAACAGAAGTTTATTTGCGAATTGTCCATTACACTGTGCCTTGTTTACAAAAACAATCTGCAGTCAAATGCTCTGAACAAACTTAAAATCTTTTGACGTGATCCAAGATGCCGTGTATTAATTTAATATTTATGCCGTGTATTAAAAATCCACTATCTGCTTATTCCTGACACTGGGATCCTTCTGAAGGCTGTACAGAGAGAAAAAACGAGCAGTTTTAATAGGACATGTCAAAGTGATAGTTCCTGTACTCTTCCATTTTGTCCTGTTGTCGGGAGTGCGTGGATTATGTCAGAAACATTTGGCCAAAGCAGTATACAGTATGCTGTTTTGTTAGGCAGCTCACTAGATTTTGAAACTGAGAAAATGTGAGTATCAAACATGTGCATTATCCACTACTCCACAGCTCTGAGGAACATTTACCGTATTGGCCCGAATATAAGACGACCCTGATTATAAGACGACCCCCCTTTTTCCAGATGTACCTTTTGGAAAAAGGCTTTTTAAAAACCAAATCTAGTTTTTTCTCAGTAAAACACATTTTGTCTTCAATTATTTTCATATTGCATATTTTTCCTATTTTAATTTTTGTTTTGAAAGTATGGTAAAAACTGGTCAAATGTACCAACAATCACATTTAAAAAATATTCACTTTTTGATATACCATTAAAAAAACAAAACAGGTAGCCCATTTGAATTAGGACATTTAGGCTATCCATCTAATAGTAGCCTACCAAAATCTTATTAACAGTAGAAGTTCAATCTTACTGTAGTCTTCAAATCTGGTTACTGTCTTACGTTTTAAAATCACAAAGAGAGTTTGGTCCCATCAGGCTAACGTGACAGTCATGACTCATGCAGCTGTAAGGTTTTCTGCTTCTTTTGTTTTTACTTGCGCTCTTTACAACACGCATTACATTACGTATTTCATGGCACACTCGTTTTATGCGTATTTGGCGCCACCTATTGTTGTGGGTGTATTATTGACATGTCAAAGTCTAGACCCTGAATATAAGACGACCGCGTTTTTTCAGATGTATTTCCAAGAAAAAAACATCGTCTTATATTCGGGACAATACGGTAATTTGAAATATTGTTAAAGATGTATGTGCCGCTCCTCCTGAGAGCAGGTTTATGTAATGCTCTCATATGTTCCGAGTGAGTAAGCGCAGGCTGTGTTATTATGTAATATCTCTGCATATTGTTGACATTTTAGCTACTTTGTCTAATGAGGTCCAACATACTGATCTAACTGTATCATATGGGTGTGGGAAGCAAAATGTGAATCTCATCCTGATCTGTCCTGTCTTTTGTAGGAGGGTTTCTGCAGGTTTTTCCACACCGCAAGACAGCTGAACCAAGAGTCTTCGATGAAGACGGCACTGTTTGCAGCAGCAGGAGTGGGTTTAGCTGGTCTAACCTTTCTCTTAGTACGCTAATGATTTTAGGTTTTCTCGCTCTCTCTCTTTCACACACAACACACCTGCGTTCTGTTTTCTGTCATATGACTATAAGTCAAAACCGTTCTGGTCTTCAGGTTCTTTGCCCATTTTTTTCCATGTCCACGCCTGTAATTACAGCAAACAGTCATTCATGTTGATTGTACACTCTTCACATGGCCTTCAGGAGAAAAGGATGGACGTTCTAAATCTTTGCATATCTAACATGGTGCTTTTTATTTTATAGTTGCTTTTGTCACTTGTTCCTGTGTAAATCATGTTAGTTTAGATAGTATTTACAGTTTGTGAGTTTATTGTTTGTAAAGTTTCTTTCAGTCTGAAAACAAGACACCCACCGATCGCAGTTGTGTCAGAAACCACTGTAACGCATTAGAGACAAAATGCATATATTTTGTAATAACAGAGCGATTCTCTTTGTTAGACCACTTTTTGCCTTGACTAGTGGTTTACATATGATCATTTACACCTTTAGGATGTCTCTCAGTTTCATCTTGGAAGTCATTTGTTTTAAAGGTGCTAGCTTGTTTGGTTCCAAACATCTCTGTGATATTTTGCCCATTGTAAGTTTACGTTGTAAATGTATTTATTTACCTCTTGAGTACAAATTATTACTATTTAGGCAATTCCCAACAATTGACAAAACATATTTTTGCATTTTTATTTATTAACTTCTTAATAAAATAATTTTCCTGTGAAACAATTTTGTTTTGTACTTAAGGTTTTATTTTGTATGTAAATGATATAAATGAGAATTTGTTTGTTTATGATTGCTTCTCTAATATGTAAGTGCCCACATGTTTTGTTGTCCTGAAATTACAGAGCACAATTCATTTTGCAACGCAAGTATTTGTTGCATAATTGCCACAAGATGTGTTATTACAAAGCCCTTGAGATTCTCAGCGTTTCTAATTAGGTGCATAGACAAGTAGTCCATGTAAAGCATACAGGAATAGCACATTATAGGGCTAGAAAGGGGCCTTCTGAAACCTAAAATGCTAAATGCAGTTAGATTTTACAAACCTGCATGATGATGGCCAAATTTTCACTTTCTTGGAGGTATTCTAGAAAGCAAGGTTAACGTAGTGTCATATAAACCCCAAA